TGGTGATGGCTGTCTACTTAACTATTCCCCGTCCAAGGGAATCACACGTGATCAGTCTCTCTACTATTATGCAGTTCTTAGGGCTTCCAAGGCATGATCTGACCTGTGGTATATGTTGTTTATTATAATAGAAAGCAGATTTTTTTTTGGTATATGTCAGATTTTTTGATATATAATTTACATGCAGTAAAAATTAGCCTTTCAAAAAAATGTATGGTTTGATGAGTTTTGACAGACGTGTACACGTGTGTAACTGCCGGGATGCAGAATATTTCTGTTCTGCTTTGCAGTCTGTCCTCTCCCCCACCCATGACCGCTGGCAAGCACCGCAGTGATTTGTGTCTGTTTGGTGTCATCTTTTCCAGAATGTCATATGAATGGAGTCATACAGTTTGTAGTCTTTTGTTTCTGCCTTATTATCATATATGTAGTATATGGCTTTTGAGATTCATTCGTCTTGTAGCACATATCAGTAGTTTGTTCCTTTTTATTGCTAAGTCGTATGCCATTTTAACTTACCAGCTATGCACATTTAGCTTGTTTTTAGTTTTGGGTTATTTTATTTAAGGCTTCTGTAAAGGTCTTTGTGTAGACATGTACTGTCCTTTCTTTGGGGTAAATACCTACAAGGAGATGACTGAGTCACATCATTAAGTGTATGTATAACTTCACCAGAAATTGCTTTTTTCTAAAGTGGCTCTTCCATTTTACACTCCCACGATCAGTGTGGTGGGTTCCAGTGGCCTCATATCCCCACCAGCATTTTTTAATTTAATGGGTGCTTAGTGATAGCTTATTGTGTTTATAATTTGCATTTTTCTGCCATTGGTGATGTGGAGCATTTTTGTCTGGAAAGTTTATATTTTAGCAGTTTGTTGTATTCTATAGATATTAATAACTTTTAAAGTATTGGTGGCATTTGAAGTGAACAGTTCTAAGAAAAACTGGGTAGTGATTGGAGCAGTTACTTCCACCAGGCTCATACTGTAGGAAACAAGGTTGGGGTGTGGAGAATATCAGATATTGGCAAAGGGTGGTTCACCTGGGTGAGAAATGACGACACCCCAGCATGAGGATTGGCAGAAAGCCGATTTCATGGCCTGCTGGCCCTGGGAGGGCTGCTCAGTCCTCAGCTAAACCCAGTGTTTGTGGAAAGTGAACTTAGATTTCAATCACATTTTCCAGGATGCTGCGGGAGTCACCCGGGAAGCTCAGCAGTGTTTTGTGGCCCTCTGGAATGCGTAGTAGATGCCTGCTGAACACAGAGCTCCCTCTCTGGGGACAATTTGCCTGAATCAGTTAATCAAGCTTGAGAAATCAGTTACCACAGGCCAAGGAGTGCCACCACCTTTGAATTCTGACACCCTATTTCTTATGCCTGTCTCCAGTTAATTAATTAAGCAAATGTCCCCTGAGTACTTACTATAAACTAGAACAGTTTTGCATACTAGGAATGGTCCTGCCCTGATGCATAAGATGGGAGAAACCCAGAAAACAGAGGCTGCCTTGAAGCACCTGGGAAGAGCTCCTAACCCACATGGCAGTGCAGGGGAGGTGATCAGGAGAGGACTCCCGAGTGCAAGACAGCTAAATGGACACCTGCAGTTGAGGAGTGATTTAGGGCCGGGAACACACCAGTGAAGTCCCACTGGTAAGGGACAAGTGCAGGATACTCAAAACCTGTACATTTTTCTCTAGGGCATTGCTTAGGCAGGGAGTTGCAAGAGGATAGGCTGGAGTCCCAGCAGGGAGGCCAGGTAAACGTGGGCAAGGACTGGACTCTATCCTCAGGGAGGTGGGGAGCTGGCAGAAGGTTTCAAGTGGGAGACTAGCATGTTTGGGTATTTGGTTTAACTGAATTACTTTGGGTGTTCTGTGGGAGTGGAGAGGAGAGAGACAAAATTGGAGGCGGGGAAGCCAGAAAAGAGGCAGTTGTAGTCATCCAGGAGTAGGATTAGAGTGGCCTATTGACTGGCCGTGATTGGGATGTGGGATCCTTTCCAGCGAGTAACTGGAAATATGCATGAGGGCAGAAGTGTGTTATGCTCTGAAACATTGAGAAACTAGTACACAGTACTGGCTTTTTTTCCATGGAGGGGGGAGGGAATTTGGTTTGTTTGTTCACTTCCTTGGAAAACTGATGTGGAAATGTCCCTTTGGTTTTCAGTTACCTGAGCAGAAGGGCTTGGGCATTGCTAAACCTTCTTGTTTGGATGGAATTGCTCCCAGCATTGATCATTGTGTTCTGAGATGGGGGGAGCAAATTGCTCAGGAGGCCAAGGTGATGGCAATGCAGGTGGGAGGGACTTAGGCAGGAAGCTTGTCTTTTGCACCATTAGGGACAATGTAGGCTGCTCTGCTGCTGCTCCTTGCTGTTTCCTGGAGGGTCCCTGGGTCAGAACCCATTTTGGAGATCCCCAAACTCTACTTTTTTTTTTTTTTTTTTTTTGAGACAGAGCCTCAAGCTATCCCCCTGGGTAGAGTGCCGCGGCATCATAGCTCACAGCAACCTCTAACTCCTGGGCTCAAGCGAGTCTACTGTCTCAGCCTCCCAAGTAGCTGGGACCACAGGCGCCCGCCACAATGCCCGGCTATTTTTTGGTTGCAGCCGTCATTGTTGTTTGGCGGGCCGGGGCTTTGAACCTGCCACCTTAGGTGTATGTGGCTGGCACCTTAGCCGCTTGAGCCACAGGTGCTGAGCCGCCAAACTCTACTTTTAATAAAATATTCTCCAGGAAATCTCCTCCTGGTCTTTCTCTTCTCGTGAATGTTGTGTGGAGGTGTCTTCTCTTCCTCTGAGCCTCTCCACTCAGGGATTGGAGGAGGCAATTCTGCTCTTGAGTTTGGCCCCAGACATTCTAACACTGGACTATTAAAATTTCATCCTTCCTGCTTTTCCCCTCCTACCTTTCCAGAAACCCACAGTGGATTTTCTAGAAATAATGCAATGTCCTTTTTGGCCAGGACATAACCATTTCCTTGCTAGAAGGTACCAATAGGATGAAGAAAAATATGTGGGAAGCAGGGGACTCAATTATCCATTTTGCCACATACTGTGTATTGTGGCAAAAAGTTTATGCTATATTATCTCATTTAATCTTTAGACCATCAGACAGAGTAGGCATTGCTACCCTCTTTCTATAACTGATACTCAGCATGTGTGTGTAAAACCTTGGCCAAGGACACATGTTTGAAGGTGTGGGGCTTCATGTCTGGGCTCTTTCTGCTCGTTTTCCTTTTTTAATTCCAGCTTCCTTACTGCTACTTTGGGGATCTGAAAGTATTCATGTAGTTTCTGAGTCAGCAAAGTGATCCCTGAAAAGCGGCTTCTGTATGTGAAAAATCTAGCTAATTATTTATTTCAGTATTTCTGGAAGGCAAATGCTATCCTAAGCCACTGACCGACAAAACGATTTTGATTACAAGTATATTTCACAATGCTGTTCTAGCTGTCAGTGCTGAGATGCCAGTTGTCAACCGTCAACCTTTAACCCAACTGATAGAGTGATGGTTTAACTTTGCCTCTTTCTGGAGTGAGAAACTTTGGGGGTCCCGTGTCCTTTAAGAGTTTTTTTGAGCAAATGATAAAGAAAAGAAATAGGTCCTAATGCTTGAATATTACAGAGGAAGTCCTGATGTATTGAACTGCAAATGAATGAATCAGAAGACATAGTGGGAGGTCATACCTTTTTCTCCAACACTGGAAACTCCCTCGGATCGCTCTCTTTTTTTTTTTTCCTAGAAATTTTAAGTCCAAGTCCTTGTGGGGTAGAGGACAAAAGGGTATTGTCCTGCTAGAGTGTGGTCTCCACTGTGAGATCTCATCTGAACTCACAGGTTTTTAGTTGAGAACTTGTTTTGTGGTTACCAATTCTTAGCTCCTTCTGTGTGTTCCTCATGCTCTGTGTCTCACCTCATACCTACTCTACCAGCGGCCACAGTGATGCACTGAGCCATTTTATAAGTCAAGCTGGTTTCTGGTTTCTACAGAGGGATCATGACTCCCAAGTGCCAGCAGAGCCCCACCTTGACCTGTGCATCCTCCCTTCTACTTGTCATTCTCTGTCCACTCCTCAGATTTAACTTTAGTGTAACTACTTGGGGCTATTCCAGCATGAAATAAGTACAGTTCTTGAGTGGGCAGCTGGCAACCATAAAATGTTGTATACTGTTTGTGCAAACCCTTTATGCTCCAGCATGGCAAAAAGTCTTCCAAGGAGGCACTATGACACCTGACAAGGAGTACCGGGGTTATGTGTTCAGGTGTGAGCAGAGCATAGCCAGAAGTGTGCGTATGTCCCAACCGTGGGAGTGTGTCTGTTTCATAGCTGACGTGCTGAGCCTGCCTTAGCAGACTGTTTCTCCGTGGGATGTTGTTTTCTTTCTGTGGAGACACAGCACGAGGGTTGTCCTTACTGCCCGAGAGCCAGGTGTCAGTGGTATTTCCTTGGTGTTTACCTAAGGCATACTGTGGCTTTCCAGATTGGGAAACTGCTTTATTCATGGTGCTATTCATCTGTCATTGGAAAGACCCCACTAGATGAAAATTTAGTCTGCAGGTCATTTCAGGGAATAGCAGAAGTCCCTCTAGGCTTGAGGCAGTATTGACAAATGCTGCTGACATTTTATGTGAGGGGAGACACTTTCTTAAAGAAGAGAGGCAGGTCTCTGGGATTTCAATATGTCATTTCCAGCCTCTATGTTTTGGCCACCTAAGAATTCTCATTCCATTTTCATTCTCAAATGATGATAGCCATGGAGCTACAGTGATTAGGATCCTAATGATTAGCACCCAGGCTGCTGCCAGAAAACCTCCTGAAGCCCTGTTTGCTGGTGCACCCAGAGGCGTTGGGAGTCAGGGCTATGCTCCATTGAGGAGCAGGCTGGACTCAGAGCTGGGTGTTGGAGGGCCCAGGTGAGAGGCTGGAGCAACCACCCTCACTGTTGTTTGGTTTTGCAGCAATAACTGACAGCTCTCTCCCTCCTGCTTTATCTTTCAGTTAATGACCAGCCACAGCATCCCTGCTGTGAGCTCTGGCCACTGTCTTCCAGGGCTCCTGAGGAGCCAGACTCCGTGGGTGCCAGCGGAGGTGACATGGCTTGCTGGCCCCAGCTAAGGTTGCTGCTGTGGAAAAACCTCACTTTCAGAAGAAGACAAACAGTAAGCTCGGGTTTCTCAGGGGTGGGGGTTCTCCCATGCTTTTCTCTGTGGTTTTGAATTGGGGATTGGAGGCGGTGGTGGGAGTAGGGAACTCTCTTGGTTTGCACACAGGGATTGAATGCTCTTGTGGGTGCAGGACTGCGTGGTCCTAATAGGGCCCAATGGCTTATTAGAGAGGGCAGGTTTGCAGCCAGGCAGAAGTGTTTGCTTTGTGCTGGTGCTGGGTGTGTACTGATCTCCGAAATCTGACTGCAAATTGCTCTGACCACCCCACTTTTTTCTTGTGCTGCACCCCTGGGGGCCATCTGACTTTCCAGAAGTCCCTCATGGGACCCTGCATTTCTGGGAGTTGTGGGTGAAGTGAGTTGATGGCCCAGCTCTTAGAGATCCGTGCCTGGATCTCAGTGTCAGTCTGGATGAGCTCTTTACCGCTTTGACTTGGGGCCTGGAGGAATGTAATAACTGAGGCTTGTTTTATTTTTATGGAGGATTCTAAGCCATTCACTTCCCAGATGGGCCAATAAAGCTTTGGGTAATCTAGAGATCATTTTTAATGCAGAGGGGAGTGGTATTTTCCCACAGAAGAATGTGATGGCTTTGAGGCGGGGTGACTCGCTGATACCAGCTTTTTAATCTCTAAACTTACTGCATGTTTCCTTAGAGATACGATCTCTAGGTTAAGCTGCTCCTCTCTATAATTCATTTCTAAATCTTTTTCCTGTCCTGTCCTTTCTTCTGAATTCTACATTATCATCCTCACTTGGCTGCCTTAAGAAGCTCAACCTGTCTATAACCTAAATGATCATTTTTTTGAAACTCAAAGAGCTATAAGGGATCTTCAAAAGAATTTAATTCACTTTTCTTCAAGCTAGAACAATGCTTGGACCTTCTTTAAAAGAATAAAAATGCAAGGTTACCCTTGCCTCCACTAAATTTCTTTTTATTATAGTGTTATTTAAATGCACACATAGGTAAAATTAGATGTAAACTTTTTATAGACTTTTATACAAGTACGACTACTATGCTCCATATTTATTTACAAATTAAATGCAAACCAAATTGCAAAATCTATACAATTCAAATTAACACTGTAAATGTGGTGAGACAGCTGATGTTACTTACCTTGAAACCAAATTATAAGTTATAACGTGACTAAGGTAGTGAATACTTATAAGCTGATCCATTTGTGTTTGGCCAGTCTGTGTTACTATCTGCTCATGATTCAGTTCTCCATCCACTTTTCTATTTAAATGACTTTCTTTTGAGGCCATTTGGCCTTCATTTGGTCTAGTCCCATCAATTCATAAACCAATTCTGCATCTGTTTTATCCTCATTAGTTGGCTACAGTTATACAACACAATCACAAACACATAGAAACTTACTTGGGCTTTGAAATCTTGTGCCAGAATTTTGTTTTAAAGTAAGCATTCAGAAAATCCAGATATGTTAATTAGAATTTGCAGACCATTGCAGTGGAAGCATAAAGTGTTTAAAATCCTCATAGGGAACTCAGATGTGACGCCTTCATAATATATATAAGGGTTAGTTTGAGAAACACCAATTTTGTTCAACCTCTCATGTTATAAACAGGGAACCTAAATAGGATGTATGGATTCTATTTGTTTTAGTAATAATAATGGTGAAATATATGACATTATATTACTATAAGAAAAGCAAATACTTAGAATTCTGAGTTTCCAAGTGCTAGGCACTAAGTTATTAGGTAGATATTAACTGGATTATTTTTAAGGCCCCTATGACATGACATCCTGCTATTTCCTCATGTAGTAACTGGGGAACTTGATGCATAGAGAGGTTACGTAATTTGTCTGCTGGTAAGGAGGCACACAGGGAAGGTTCAAATCCAGACAGTCTGACTGCAGAGTTGGTACTTTAAATCACTGTGTCCAGTTGCCTTGCATCGTTGTTTTTTCCGTCCTCCATTTTGAATCTTGAAGTTTCTGACTCCTTCCTTGCCTTTCCTCTCTTCCCACGGTTATTCCCAAGTCCTGGTGTTCCCAGGTCCTGTGTGTTTATCCTTATCTTCATTTCCTAGCAACTGTGTGGTCCTGATCCCTTCCCCTTCTCATCCCAGTTGCGGTGGCCTATTTGTGGGAAATTGTCTCTGCTATGGTTTGTCCATGGTTTGTTTCCAGTAGTGAGTAGTGGGAAAGAATCCAACCATCTTGACAGTGGTGGGGGCCAGTTCAAACCTCTTACTTTATGGATGAGAAAGTGAAGGCAGAAATCAGAGAAGGAATGTCCTCAAGGTCATCCAATCAGCAACTGAGCTGGGACTCGAGGCTGAGATATCAGAGACATAGGCCCTGCCTTGTTCCATCCCATCACAGTGCTTTTTCTTCCCTCTCCCAAATTTTTTGCACCTGCATGGCAGTGCCCAACGTGGAGGTGAAGAAATGGCAGGAAAGAGCTTTTCTGTGCTTATCCAGGGAGGGAATCAGGAGCATAGTGTCCTGGAACAGGACGTGGGGCTGAGGCATTCAGACTAGGCCTGTCTCCCCTGGTCTTGAGCTTGTTGTTTCTTGCTCAGTGTTGCTTATGGGTTTAAAAGTATTAGGATTGGAGAGAAAGGCAGGCTCAGCCAAAGGCAATTTGTGTCCTTGTGGCAGAGTTGAAGAAGGAAGTAGGGACACAACACTCTGATACAAAAGTGCTTTTTTAGATGCTTCTCCATGGCTGCTGGCCTGTTTTAGTTACCTCCCTTCCTGATTTCTAAAGGAAGTGTACTTTGCTGAATCAGAGAGAAAGGTGGTTTATTTCAGGTCATCGATGCTTAGATTGTCAGAGTTGGAAAGATCTGGCTGCCTCTCCTACAATTGATGGAATTGGGGCTCAGAGAGGCACAGGGGTCCAGAGTGGGCCAGTTATGGAAGGAGCACTGGAACTGGCCTCCTGGGGCAGGCCCATTTTAGCAGGCAGGGTTTATGTCATTGAATCTTAAGTTCTGCCTGGTAGCTACTTCCCAGTTCACCTGGCTTAGATTTCTAGATTATATGATTTAGGCATTGGAACCTGTGAAGGGTTTTGGTGCCACTTTATTAGCTCACATAGAACAGCCCTGCCTGTTAGGTAAGGGAAGGAGTCAGCAGCCCTACAAGATAGGTCTTGCCCACAGTGTGTGGAAATTCATTGCTTGTTTCCTTTTTCCTGAGATCTTGAAGTGTATGTACTGGCTTCCGGAGCCCAACACAGGGCCTGGCACTTGGAAAATGCTTAATAAATATTTTGCTGAATGAGTGGTAAATGTGTTAATGGTCTATCAGTTTGCAGTCTTGAGGAGGCCCCTCCCCTGTTCTAGGAAGAATAGAAAGAATAGAAAAAGTCTGTATGCTGCTGCCAGGAAGATGAGGAGGACTGTTGTAAAAGCCTGGGGCTGAGCAATACACCCCAGAGCAGCTGTGCAGAAGGCAGCATTTGCCCTTTAACTCTCTGTCCACAACTGCTGATGACTCTGGGGGACCTCTCTCCTGGGCCCCCACTATGCAGATTCATGAGGGACCATCAGCCAGGGTTAGTTTTCCACTATTTCTGTTGGGCAAAGAATATATTGAATTGGGTTGCGAAAGTTGGGTGCAAAGCTCAGTTTGGGTCCAAAGTAACTTGTGTGGGTGGTATGCATCCAGCACAAACAGGGCTGGGGACAGCAAGGAGGAGGGACTTCAGAGTTTTCGGGATTCTCATCTGGTTTTAGGCTGAACCAGAGGCCAAGATCCCAATGGAACAGATGGGATAAAGTGAGGGTGGCCATATGGCCTCTTTTCTTTTGCCTTTGCTATTAAGTTTTTTGAATAGATCTGCCTAACCATGTGGCTGGGAAAATAGATAATTGTAATCTTTGTATAAATTAGAGTACCATAGTTTGCGTTTCTTTCAGGATAAGGAATAAGCTATCAAAAAAATTAAAGCTCTTCCTTTAATAGCCTTTAGACAATTTTTTAGGGCCAGGGTTAGTGGCTTATACCTGTAATCCTAGCACTTGGGAGAATGAGGTGAGTGGATCACTTGAGCCTCAGGAGTTCAAGACCAGCCTGAGCAAGAGTGAGAGCTAGTATCTACTAAAAACATGAAAACAAACAAACAAACCAGCCAGGTGTTGGAATGGGTGCCTGTAGTCCCAGCTACTTGGAAGGCTGAGGCAGAGGATGGTTTGAGACTAAGAGTTTCAGGTTGCTGTGAGGTGTGATGCCATGGCACTTTACCCAGGCTGACAGAGTGAGGCTATGTCTCAAAAAAAAAAAAAAAAAATAGAGAATTTTGCAAGGTAGATGGAAACCCTCTGCATCCCTTCCCCACTTCCAGTTTCACCTGACAGATTTCTTTAGTCCTTTCTGCAGCAGTAGTTATGATTTTCATCCTGGCTTGGCTCCCAAGCACCTCTGTGGCCTAGAAAAACTCTTTTCTCCTGAGCTTTAGTTTTCCCTTCTATATAATGAAGAAAGTTAAAACTAATAGACAAATGGCTGTTATTCATTATTTCATGTGGGTAAATATTTATTGAGCATCTGTTTCTTGTGGGAAGTGTGCTGGGTATGTAGTGGTCACAGAGTCTGCAGTTCAGTGGGAGAGCCATATAGGAAACACATCACCACATGAGTAAAAATATAATCATAATCTGTGATAAGTGTTGTGAAGAAAAAAACCAAACAAACTATAGTACTGCATTAGGTCCTAACAAATGTGGGTCAGGACTTTATTTAGAACTGTAAGTTATGCTTTTTTGGGGGGAGGGGCAAGAGTCTCACTCTATTACCCCAGGCTAGAGTGCCCTGGTATCAGCCTAGCTCACTGCAACCTCAAACTCTTGGGTTCAAGCAGTCCTCCTGCCCCAGCCTCCCAAGTAGCTGGGACTACAGGTAGCCACCATACCACCTGGCTAGTTTTTCTATTTTTAATAGAGACAGGGCCTCGCTCTTGCTCAGGCTGAACTTGAATTACTGAGCTCAGGGTTTCTTCCCCCCTTAGCCTCACAGAGTGCTAG